GTAAGGATGGGAATTCTCTTTCAGTTTAGGAAAAACATTAGTAGAAAAGTATTGTTAATTATTTGTTAATTAAAAAAAATAAAGAAAGAAAATCAGAAAGTGTTCCATGGTTCAGACTTCCTCTATCGAAAAAATTTGAATAACATAAAAGTGAGATAACTTTATTTTCTTATCAGAATTATAAATCTGAACCTAACATAGAGCTTTCGATAATAGAGATTAATTAATATTAGTTATGACGAATGCAATTTTTTCGCTTAAGCAAAAACATGTCTAAAAATATTATTTGGTAATTAAAAACTCTATTTAAAAATTACTAAATAATCAAGAGATTAGGTGTGGTATTTTACGGTGTCATTGTCAACTAATATCTTCAACAGCCGTGTTAAGATCATTGCTAATGAGTAAATGATCATTAATTCATTATATTTTACCAGTTTCAATCAATAGTGGATTATGACATATCAGCCACAAATGTGTCCACAGCCATTACAAACAAAGACGGATTTATTGTAAAATGCTTAATGGACTAACGATGCCTCGTATAAATAATATAAGAATTTCCATTGTAAATACTCGTAATCATTCTTTAATTCATATTACTCCTTTTCTCAGTAGTAATATTATTCCTTATTCAAACGTTCGATTTTTACTTTCTCGGCTGTTATATAGAACAGATAGCGACAAAGTTACAGAGTTAAGAAAGAAATGGCTGGACTCAGAGGTATAGCCATTTAGACAATAAGAGGAAGGAAGAATGTAGCGAGAAGGTAAGTAGATGAAGATTAAAGTAAGGGAGATAGGATAGTGGGAAGGGAAGCCCATGAGGTCTTGCATCGCATTTATTAAATTAGATCAGAATACAGATACAAATACAATTACAATGCAGAATAAGTGAATGTGGTACAATATAGCATATATACGCGACAATAATTACCGGTTTATTAGAGGACAAAAGACATTAAGCAAAAAATATTAAATAAACAGTATAAGTAAAATAAGACTATGTACAAGGCTGGCATTTAGCCAGAATTGCGCGACAATTTTTTGTTAACAGCTGAGATAATGGGATATACAAATACTCGAAGATGGTGAACATATGCGAACAAGGAAAACAGCTTAATTGAGTTTATTAACTTCGGTGGCAAAGTTTTTGAATGCATTGATGTTGTCCTTGTCGCTAAAAAACGTACGAAGGTCACACGGCCATAGTTGTCCTTTGTTGTAGACAGCATCCCTGAGTTTCTTTCGTTGGGTTATATAGAGTGGGCAGCGGAAGATTAGGTGCTCGGGGTCCTCTTCTTCGTTGAGGTCACAAGTGCATTTGCCGTCGGTTTTGTTTAGAAACCTCAGCAAGTAAGAATTAAAGTTACCATGCCCCGTTAACAGTTGTGTTAGCTGGAAGGTGGTATTGAAATTCCTTTTAGGACAGTCCGAAGGAGAAGGGAGGTAGCGGTGGGTGAGCCTGCCTGTATTGCCATTATCCCATCTGGATTTCCAAGTTTTGAGAATTATGTCGTGCAAACAGATAGCGACAGGTCGAAAATTATCCCACTCCAAAATTTATACATTTTTAGACTCGCGACACCTCTAAAAATTCGAGAAATGCAAAAAACAGTTGGGCGTTTTTTCTGTATGCATGAATGTTAGTGTGTATGGAAGCCATGATTTTGATCGCGCTATTTGAATTTTAATAATTCTCGTGCCTTTATTCGAAAATTTTTAAAATTTTTCTGTTGGATTTGGGTATTAAAGACATTGATCAAAGGATGGAAAAATAGAAAGGGTACTTATCGTATATCAAGTGGGGTTGAACTTAATGAATACTTTACTCGTTATTAGCATACACAATTTTTTCTTTATAAAACTCGTCTCTAATCTCAAAATTAAGTTCTTTTTTTGTGATTTTATAATAATTAATAATATAAAAAGTTTTTAAAAGAAAAACAGATGGCACCATACACAAGTTTGACCGAGAAAGATACTCAACTGGATGCAAGAATTTCATTTCATTACTTCCGAAATCGTCAACTGTAAAATCTTTATCCATTTCGAATACAGCATTTAATATGTCATATTGTTTTTAGGAAAGTGTTATCTATAATCAAAGACGCAGTTATTTATAAGCCCTATAAAAAAATAAAAAATAAATCTTTATGAATATTTTCTCATATAGTTCGGCTTGTGTTAGAAAAAATATGCTACGTAAAGATATGATTTGACTTTAATACTGTTTATGGCTATCGGGTTTGGACGTTTATATCTGTACCTAAAGTTAATTAAGTGTGTTTAGAAAGTACTTCAATATTTATATAATAGGCCTACATCAATAAAAATTATCGTTCGAAAGTAGAAAGTAAAATTAATAAAATTTTTCAAAAGTAACTTTACTTCTTATTTAAAGGTAATTTAAGGAGATAAATAGGAAGTGATGACAAAACGTATTCTTTAACTATCTGCTTCGACGCATTCCAGTGATCGCGTGTCACTCTTTGCGTAACCGACCCAGCTAATCCAAACAATAATATTTTTATAATTATTGGAGCAATTTAAAAATATCGTGGTTATTGCGTGCAACACGACTTCGAAAACGCATTTTAAATAAAGTAAGTTATATTAAAAAATCAAATTAGACTAGCAAACAGAGAGAAAACGTTAAATTATCCATAAAAACATTCACACGGTATTTATAGCCTATATAAGAAAGATGTAATATTTAATCTGTAATACGTAAAATTAATTAATTTTGGGGGAATTTTATTTAAAGCTTATTTGTAAATTATTTAAAAACATAAAATTAGGTCACTTTATAACTTATTTATGATTTTTTCAGTTTAAATTAAACCATATTTCGACTCGGAAATATTAAGAACATATTCCTTTTGCTTCGAAAAGTTATAAATCATGGGTGTCCAACCCGCGGTCGCGTGAGACCCAAGGCAAGTTCCAATGCGGTCCAATAAACGTGTAAACAAAACCGACAAACTTTTTCATTTTATTTTATTTATTTATTTCAACAGCATAAACTGAAAAAGAAAAGAAATAAATTTCACAAAGCCGTAAACCTTTACACATATTTTATTTTTGAGTGGAAAGGAAAGATTTTCAAATACTTGGAAATGTGTGAATGAGGAAGGAATACTAAATAAAGCTAAAGTTGAGACTCAAAGGATTATAGACCCAAATTTGGGAGGGGAGAAAGGAGAGAAAGACAAAAGATAAATAGTAGTGAGGAAGATTAAATAGACTTTCTGTTATGCAAATATGGACCCTTAATTTTTCAACCTTCCTCACTTCTTTATCTTTTGTCCTTTCTCTCCTTTCCCCGCATTTGGGTCTATAATTCTTTGAGTCCCAACTCCAGTTTATTTAATATTCCTTCCAGCGTTGCATGATTTGGCTACTTTGCGCCAAAGTTGGCTATCCTTTGTTTAGTTTGGCGTAAAAAATATCATTTGGCACATTGGCTACTTTTTGGGCTACATATTATTTATAAATATATTAGACGAATAAAAATGCACTTTAGAATGGTGTTTTGTCATTTTTGTTTTTATTAGAGACCCAAATAAAACAAACATTTGTGTTTTTCAAATAAATTTTTGTCTCCTTTATAATAAATGAATTTATCTATTTCTAAGTAAAAATTGAAAGTGTCTGTAGAAGTATTTTTTAAATATCCTTTTTCGTGATAAAGACTTAATACCTATTACTATAATGTGGACATGTTAATCCTTAAATATACAAGTATATTTAAGGATTGGGCCACAAGTATATTATATAGGTATACTTGTGGCCCAAAACTCCATGACATCTTCCAATGTGGCTCAGAGAAACAAAAAGGTTAGACATGCCTGTTATAAATACTATATACATATAATAACGTTTTTAAGTAGACTGGTACGATACCCTTTAATTATAAGTAAAGATTTTTCTCCTGATCGGCAGAAAATTAACGTCCAGTTGTGGTTTCTATCCCTGTAAGTTAATGCTGTTTTTATTTTAAAAATAATAATAAAATCTATAAAGTAACTTTTATTTTAAAACAAATATTCTGTGTATTTTATTTGTTCGAAAAACAAAAGAATAATAATAATAAATAAATGGCAAAAAGACCTTTATCTCGTTGCTGGATACGAGCACTTGTTGGTCCCGGCAAGTATAAATAATATAAATCGTACTTTTAAGTAAATTTTTAAACAAGTTTTCTTTTCATTTTTAAGATTTAATTTTGGAATTTTTCCCACGCAAGTTATTCTATAGACTCTAAAAAAAATTAAAATCATTCTATTAAAAGTAAGCAATTATTTGACTTAAATCAAGTTATTTTAGATGAAATCATTTTTATTCTTCATATCTGAATAAAATACCGACAAATTATTAAACAGTTAATTGATTAAGTGTTGTCTTTAAAAATTTTAGAGAGAATTATGTAAATCTGTTAAAAGTTACATATTTTGAGCAATTATAGAAATTAAAATTGCAAACAATTATAATATTTCGGTGACAAACGAACCTATTTTAAAATTATTAATTACGCATTGACCTATTTAGGCTCTTTTATCTTAATGAAAAATTTATAAATAATTTAACGGCTTTATTTAGTAAATAAGAATATTAAAATTAAAAAGAATATTTAAGAGTCTTCGTATATTTTTATGCTTCTTTAAAAAGTTATTAAAATGTAAAAGTAACTTTTGATTTCGAAACGTAACAAAATCAATATCATACGCTTATAATAATGACATTGGCTATGTAGGGCATTCGATTTTATGAACTAGTTTCTCAATGTGGAAAATATATCATACTTTTCAATGATTTAATCGATGATTGATTCGATTAATTATCATTATTCGCTTAAATAACATTAAATTAGTCAATTTGAATTTCTTCAGAAATATTTATTTTAGTCATCAACCAAGTATGCAAATGAACGATGGCAATTCTAAAGATATAAATACGACTTCGGAATAAGGGCTAAAAATAGTGCAGATAAAGCCAATAACATGAAACTCTTGATGCTACTTTTCGTACTCGGCGCCACTATTTTCTCCGTAGTTTCTTCTTATTCGTCACAGGAAGCGGGTTATCACAACTCCGTCCGAGATAACCTTAGACGATTTTGCGGTAAGATGTTTATTTTCTTAGAAAATACGTTTTCAACAAAATTTTAAAGAAAATTTATTTGATATTTTTCTATTTAGCTCTGGAAAACGGATCTCATTTTCGCTACTGTTTAATAGTCAACGGGCTAAGAGAGGTAAGTAACGAAATAACACATGGCCTACCAGTTTCATTTCAAGAAATATTTAATAACTAATTCACATTTATATTAAAAACTTGTAGAATATTGAGCGATACCGCAACTGCGCTGAACAAGTGAAATTTTTCCATATATTGCAAGAGATTGATCAATTCATTTGCAAGAATAGAACCGAACAGGTACAGTACTTTTTGTCGATTTTCTTTAATAAGAAGTCTTATTAAATTGTTTGGCTTTGTTAGAAAATTATATTAATGTCTGAATTAGCAGTAAAAATATCATTTAATGCTAGTAGTAAAAGGATGGGATAGCGTTAATTGGAAATGGCACAGCTGCCAAGAGGGATGCCTTCAGAAAACTGTTTACATGTTAAGGCTGGTATACACGGTAAGGAAATCCTCAAAGGATGTGCTTAACAGACGAAAAAAACTCGGATATAACCGGCTGGATCGAACATAGTAATTTACAAAACTTATTAAAATATCTCCCAACGTATAAATAATTATTTTTATTTAAAAATGGATAGATAGAAAAAAAAACACGGTTAATCCTCAAAGGATTTCCTTACCGTGTATACCAGCCTTTAGACGTGAAAAGAAAACGGGAAAAACTCCACGTTGTGCCGGCTCGTCGGTAGGAGGTGCTCGATGCTGTTACTCACTCGGACACCGACGGACACACTACCAAAAACAAATTAGACTTTACTGCAAATTCAAATATTGAATATATATTTTTACAGACGTAAGTTTGGGTTTTGATAACCAATAAACTTTTTTCTCTCCAAGGAATACGAACAATTTATGAAGTGTTTCGAACCCGCTTCTAACGCTGCCAACCGAAATAATCCCAGAATTTTTCCTATACTCGAGGTAAAACTTTCAGCAAAATAACAATATTTATTGTTTAATTGCTTAGTTCAATCGAAAACCATATCCGCTTATTATCGGAATAAAATTACGCAGCCGTGTTTTTAATGCTATAAATTAATTTATGCATTAAAAAATTATCTTTTAGACTCGTTTATTACGTTAGAAGTATGAAAATTAAATACTTTACGTAGAAAATTAATTTATGTATATTTTATAATTATTATTGATCGACGAGTATAAAACGTCTGTATAAACTTAGAATTATATTTAATTATCGGTCGTAAAAGTATCCGATTTTCACGTACTTTTTATTTTTCTCTTTTCACGTACTTTTTATTTTTCTCTTTTCTTCTTTTTTTTTTCATTTTGAAACATCAATATTTTCTTAACGAATTCCTAACCGGTAATTGGACATCGTAGGATTTTGCACGGTAAAGGATTTCGTCGTCCTCAAGTCGTACGAAATTCTAACTCGAACCTGAAACTCGCGCATACGTCGCATTACTTTAAAAATTTTTATCGGTCGAAATTTATCTTCACCATCGACTGACCGCCAGTTTCGCAGGCGAAAATACGACGGCGCTATACCTAGGTTCAACTTGTTTAAATTTCAACGCATTTCTCAATTGTTTCGAAATTTTAAACAAATTTTTAAAATACTAGAGAGGTTGTGGCCGACGTTTTCAACGTGAGAACGTGTACGTCGGACGTTCAGTGCCGCCTTCCTGTAAGCCTAGAAGTTTGACAATGGCGTTTGGAACGTCAGTGGAATCATGCTCGACGTCCTAAACGCCATTGTCAAACTTCTAGGCTTACAGGAAGGCGGCACTGAACGTCCGACGTACACGTTCTCGCGTTAAAAACGTCGGGAGCAACCTATATTGTAAAGCATTTTTAAAATAATAAACAGACGTTTCGTTTTATCATTATTTAAAAATGTAATTGTTTATCGGAAGGTTAATTTTTACGTTGGAAATATACTGTAATTTATCTTTGGGCATTAATTAATATAAATTTTTCTTTTTTGTTTGCAGAAATGCTTGCAGTTCGAGGAAAATATCGACGTCGGCAAAAAATTTATATACGACGAGTACGGAATGTAAAAGACGGCAACACTATTCCTTTCCGTCGGCTTAAATATATTAAATGTTTGCAAATATAATTTTAAGTTTATTATTCGGCCCGGTTTTCTTTAATAATACAATTTTCTTCACTTTTCTTGTTTCATACGTTTTAAACAAAGGCTCTTTCTCTACAATATATCAATTCATTTAATGGCTTAAACGGTGAACGAAGAATTTACATGTAGACTAACTTTTAAATAATTATTTAAAAGTTACATGTAAATTCTTAATTTTTTTATTTTTTAAATGGAGATTTCCGATTTTATTAAAATTTATTCTACGGTAGTTATTCGAAAAGAACTCTAAACTGGTTACGTACGGTGCTTTTAGATTTCCGAACGTGCGTTCGTTTGTCCACTGCGGCTTAATTAAAACGGAACCGACGACAGGAGGAAAACGTGGGAGTAGATGTAACTTTTTTTAGCAGGAATCTCACGTTGTAACTTACTTTAAAATCACCGAAACGGCACGTTGCCCGAGTATTTAATTAAAGCGCGCCGATAGGTCCCGGATCAGAGGTCGGAGTTCCCGCCGCGGGCGACCGAGGAGTCCGACAATCCGATCTTTTCTGGGCAAAACGAAAGTTGAAATGGCCAGGGGCTCTTAGGACGACGATGGCACACGGTCTGAAAAGCGGGAAAAGGAAATAATTATTTCGGAGGATTTTCGACCGCCGAAAAGCACATTAAAAACTTGCCGAATCGTAGACCCTTGGCAAAAATAATTGCGTTTGCACGTATCTGACACCGACGCCACCACTGCTTACAAAGAAAGCCTAGGCTCCTATTTACTTCGAAATTTCGCCCGGTGGTCGGCGGCATTAAACAGGCGGTCGACCGACAAAACGTCGGAGACAGACGAGTGGAGGTAAATACAAATTTCTTTCCAGGCATGAGTGGTTATTCCGTATCCTTTCTGGCTCCCGTACGCCGCTGTATTGGTTTATCACGGATTTAAATTTGTACGTATCCGTAATGTAGCCTATTGGACGACGTATAAAATATAATTTATTTACAAACGTGACTTGCGTTTTATCGTAAAAATTTTCTAAACTCTGAGTAATTGGAAACACTCCCGGTAAACACCTGTCGTCCTGCTGAAAAACAGGCGAAGGAAGTGCATATAGCTAATCCGAAACGTTGTTTTTTTAATGCCAGCCAAAGGCAACGGACACGACTGTAGCCTAGGTATTTTTGGACTTAGTGTCCTCTTCGTTTAACGTAAAAGGCGCCGGGTAAAAACACCACCGACAAAACGCCCGCCGACCCCGAATAACGGTTAAGGAAGTCCTTAACCGTTATTCGGGGTTGGCGGGCGGCCCAACGAAAACTTTCCCTTTCTCCGGCGTTAACCGCGGCAGATGCGGTTTATCGGTAGCGCGTGCGTTAACAAAACGTATCTATTGTATTAATAATTAGAATATTTTAATCTTCCGGTATCGGTGGATCCACCCACTCTTTCTTTACGGGTTTCCATTATCTTTTGTCTTTACCTTTTCCTTTTTTTATCAAAAATTCTGGCAAATGTCCCGCCATCGGATAGGAAACGGCGTCCGATTCATCCGCCGCGCCGTCCACCTGCCGGAACGACGGGGAAAAGAAGTGGGTCGGGCTCCCATAATTGGCTTCCCACCAGGCCGTTTCGGTGCCCTTTTCCTTTAGTCGGATCCCGCGCAATGTAAAGGTAGTTATCGTCCCGCCGGTCGGGTACCAAGCCAAATAAACCTTCGGAGCTTTCCCCGATGGTTTATTTAGCCGGCTAATTAAACCCAATGCCTCAGGTAATTTTTGCAAAACGGTGCAAGATGTTAGCTGCTTGAGTAGCTTTACAACAGATGTAGTTATTGTGCTTGGTCCAAGTGAGAATCTCATCGAGGACCATTCCTAATTACAGTACATCACGTCTTTCGATTTTGGTATCCTCGTGTTGTTAATGTGAATGCGAGGGTTCCTTGCATATGAGTGTCCTTCCAGAAGATAATGTTTTTGCACTTGGCCTGATTGATCGGGAATTTTCTCTCCCTACCCCAGTTATAAATACTATTAATGAGTTCATTATACCCGCCTCAGGAAGCCGATCACAGCTGCGATCAGCGACTAGGACCACGTCGGTAATCCAAGTCGTCGGCGTACGTGACAGTCTGAATCATTAGTAGTGTGCAAAAGGTCATTGTAGAATATTGTCCCCACGTCTGCTATGATACGTTGACAGATTGTTAGTGTTGCAAAAGTAAATAGCGTGTGCAATTAATAAACTTGTTCATGGTGAATCTCTTTGCATCTTCCGTGGGACATACCACAGAGGAAACTTAGCGTTGACGTTTCCACAAATGCCAACAGATGACGCTACAGGTTGAAAGATATAGAGAGGTATGAAATCGGATATAGGTTCACCAGTGGCCGAGTGGATAAAACGACTGAACATTGGTAGTTCGGTGTTTTCGTATCTCGCCAGAACGAGCTGGTCATGTGGAGTTTTCCGGATTTCCTTTACGTTTGTAATGCCTAATTAGGAATAGATGTCAGTTTCCCATAGAAGCTCTTCTCGGAAGGCGTCTCTCCCTCAGAAGATTGTGAGGCATGGGAATATAGTCCAAAAAAGGGAGACATAAAAAGAAAAATATAAAATTTGTTAAGTTAAACCGTCAAGAAAACAAGTTATGTAAGTGTCGAGTCGGCGACACCGGACTTTGACATCGTCGTTCATAAAGAATAGCGGGAAAAACAAAATTTTAGATAAAGAAAACTAAAAAGGGAAATATTTAAAACTTAAGACGCAATTTAGTAAAACGAAACGAAAAAGATAATAGAATGAGCGTAGGTGTCATAATCATCGATTAAACGCAATCAGAGGCTAAAACAGTGTTTCTTAACAGGGGGGCCGCGGCCCCCTGGGGGTCCGTAAGAAGTTTGCCGGGGGCCGCCAAATTATGCAAAATTTTTTTCAGAATATAATAAAAAGAAAATTAATGTATAACCGAATATCGTATCGAAAAGTGAAATAAGAAAGATATTTAGTTTTTTTTATTTATTTCTTATTTCTTCTTACATACAACTTTGTTAGTACAGAAGAAATAAATGCAAATATGCTACTTACACCGCAGTATTTACTTCTTTTATTCCAAAGTAATTCTAAGAAACTATTAATGCTTGGAATTTTAAAAATAAAGCAATAATAAAAAAATCAATTTATTATAGATAATTTAACAAATATAAATTATTATTTAAAAAATG